ATTATTTTAGACTATTCTTTTTACAGTCATTTTCTTTAATTTTTTACAATTATGAAAAGAATAATAAAAATTAAAGTATAGATTGTTGATAAAATCGGCGATTTAAATGAACGTTTTTAATCGATGAGATATTAAAGTAATCAACATTTGTAAATTTAAAAACTAAAAAGAAATTTTACACGATTCTTAAACTAAGCGACTTACTAATTCATCAACAATAATTTATTGGTTCGTGCCTTATTTTGGAATAGTTTTAACGTTTTAATAGTTTTTGGGTGAAGAATGCTTCAACTTAAGATGGGTCGTCATTAATAAAAAAACATGGAATATTATTTATTTAATTTTGAAATGTTTTTTTTTTAAACTTATCCCTCATACAAAAAAGTTGTATTTTACTTTTTGACTTTTGCAAGAAAATATTTTTTTTTACTAAACCAACAAAAAAATCAAATATTAAGATAATCTTTATTAATACAATATTTGTCTAACAAAAAAACAATTATTAATATATTTTTTATACTAATAAATAATTAATACACTGTACTAACATGTATTGATAATATACATTAAATATTTAATTAACGAAATGATTTATTAGTATAATATAATATATTATTAGTTTATATTTATGATATTATATTAATGGTTTGACTTTTAAAAAAATTATACTAATACTAGCTTATAATTTATTAATAAATTATATCGATCCAACACAAATATATAAAGTAATTTATTATAGATGAAAAATATTAACAATATTCTCTCCATGCATTTCTAATACATTTTTTTTAATTTTTGACTAATCATATAAATCTACAAAAGTATGATTGAGAAACACTAAAATTAAAATGAGAAATAAAATATTTACATAATTTTTAATAAATCTTTATCTATCATTCATATATATAAGTGTATGATGGAAGGTTCATGCATGCTAGGATCAAATTCGGGTAGACAATATATTAAGTTATAAACTTGCTTTAAATGAACTTAAAAAACATTTTTATAGGTTATATAAAAATTTGTTAAAATAAATTAAGAAAATATAACTTTTTCCTACAAGCTTTTGTCAACTCTTCTACAAACACCTTTACGTATTGTTCATGGGTATGCAAGGCATAAAGACAAGGTTTTTTTTTGTTTTGTTTTTTGGTTTAAGGACTTGGTAGTTGACTTTAAGCCTAATAGAACATTCCATAATTACACCAATAAATTATCTTATATGCATATAAATCCTTTCAATTATCAAATGAAAAATTATTATTTTTATATTTTTAAGACAATAAATACACACTTTTTTATTTATTTATTATTTACCTTATAAAAATAATAAAAAATATTTTAAAATATATAAGAAAATGCAACGAAACTCCTTTAGCAAAGTGCCTTACCAAGTATGGAATTCAATGTGGCCCACACAATAATCCAGTTTGGTTCAAAGTTACTTGGGCTGAGCTTATGACTAGAAATTAAACTCAGTTGCCTTTTTCTAGAGTCTTAATAATGCGTTAACTTCTGACCAACCAAAAAAATTAAATAATGTTTTCACTTTATGGACCAACAAAAATATCTTCAAGTTATGAGTCCTCACAGAAAAACAGATAAAAGATTTTAAAAAATAGGAGTAATGCTTCAAATTGATTTTTTTTAAAGTCAACTTAACCTGATTTGAGGTTGATTACTATTTAAACATTTTCATATTTTTAAAGATAGTTGTAATTACACCAACTTAAATAAATATATTTTACATAACATTCTAATATTTTTACATTAACATAATTTATTTATAAAACTATATTTCATTACATCCTACTCGAAGATTTTATGGCTTAAAAAAACAAAATAGACCCCTATTTCATAGGGGGCTTTCGGGTTTACAACCTTTTGAGGTAGTAAACCCTTATACCATTAGTGAAACGGTAAAAATTTAACCTAACAAAGACACTGTACCGGGTACAAATGAAGTTAAATCTGATACAACGCGGTCCATGAGCATCCCCTGAAATAAACCTAAGAAATCAGAGAGCTACTATAAATAAATAAAATAACCTTTGACCAAAAAAGAAGAAGAAAGACCTACTATTAAAATAGGACATTTAAATAACTTTAGAATACATAATAATGTTCTCCCTCGACCAATAAAATAAAATAAAAATTCAGTTCTTCAATTTGGGACACCTTATGTAACTTTTGAGTAATCCGTGTTAAACATATGAGTATTATAGCCATTCCATTTTATGCTTTATAAATATATACACTGCACAGAAACAAATAAATGAATGTGATTCACGTGAACATGATTTTCATTGATATGGAAAAGTCATATTAATGGATTCCAAGAAATGTCTTATGAGAGACCATGTTTTCATATTTTCTTATAAAATTTATATAATGAAATGCATACATATTGAAAGCACCCATCGCCTCAAAATTTGAATTTTGAGTAGCGAAGACTCAACATCAAAATTAAATATAAATATTAATCGGCGTCTTGGTCAAGAAATTTATTTATTTTTAAATATTAAATATATTTATTCTAATAGCTAGCTTATAATCAATAAACAACGAATGTGCTTTTTTAGTCAAAAATCTAAAAATGTGTTTATAAGAGCTTATGGTTTTTACGAGTTAGTTTATAAAATGCAATTTATCAAGGCACAAGATACGCTTAGACTATGACATTGAGTTCACCTTCAAATAAAAAGTATAATTAAACATTCATTTAATAAAACTATTATTTGAGAATTTATTGATGCTAAATTTTATTTGAAAATTTTTAAAGAAATTGATTTTAAAAAGTTAAAAAAACGTTTTTAAAAACATTAATACTTTATAATACGAAACAATTTTATACGGAAATCAAGGGCAATTATTTTATAAAGTGAGTTTGTTACTCAATGAATTCGCAATACCAACAGTTATTTTTAGATGTTCGCTGTAGTGATTCTAAACTGAGGTATATTATATACACTTTAAATTAAGAGTTATAATTTTTAAATATTTTAGAAAATAAAATATTTATAATTTTTTTAATAAATTACTAACTTGAATAAAAAATTTCCCATTTTATATTAGTTTCGTAAATTTATTTTTTTTAGGCCTTACAGTAATTCTATCAAATCTTTTTCAAACGCTTCCTAATCAATATTGGGCCATCTGCCAACAAAGAGCATATTACGGTACATTGAGAAGTTTTGAATCGTAATTAGACAACTAAAAATAAATAAATTAATAAAGACAAAGGTAGAACAACTTTTTTTTTTTTTTTAAAAAAGGTAATATATCGTGTAATATAATTTAGTCATGAAATAAGAAAACTTGTAAAAGCCTTATATTTTTAACATATTGCGTCACTGAATGATTACAGTTCCAATTTTTAATTAAATTTAGAATCTTTTCTACAATAGTATTGACTTTTTATGGATTAGTAAACTAAAATTATGATTTTAATTAAACAATATAAAAATACTTCAAGTGTTTCATCTAAATTGTGTAAAGAAATATAGTTGATAAAACTAGTGCGCGGCTATACCACAATAAAATAAAAAGCTTTATTTCGAGTAAAATACTACTTTTATACCAACTCATCTGAGTGTAGACAATTACTCAGTGCCTGTCGATTCACATCATTTTAGTGTTTCAAAAACAAATTATAACAATTTCCATTTTTTTATTTCATCATGAAGAAATATATTAGTCAAAGCATAAAATCAAATACAATGAAATACTTGATTCTTATTTTTTGAAAAATATAATTTCATAACTTAGTTCAAATTTTTTTTCAACATCGTTAAGACGATAATTTCAATTTTGTTTATTAAAAAGGTACCAATTTAAACATCCATTATATTCCCTTTCAAATTAAAAAACTTGTAACGATTTCATTAAGAGGATAATTCATCAGGAAAAAAAAAAAAGTAAATAGAATTTCGATTATGATATTTAGTAATTATATAAGATTTACCTAATCAAAATTGCCTAAGCCAATATTCTGGACATAAAATGGAGAATGGAGTAGAATAGACCGAGATAAATTATAATTAATAAATTAAAATGAAATATAATGAAATTAATGAACATATCATTTCATTGTTTAAATGTATAATGGAATGATGGAAAACAATATTTCATCTCTTTCAACCCAAATTAAAAATTAAGCAGAATAAGATATTCCTTCCTATTCTATTGTTTAAATGGAGAATAGAGTAGAATAGACCGAGATAAATTATAATTAATAAATTAAAATGAAATATAATGAAATTAATGAACATATCATTTCATTGTTTAAATGTATAATGGAATGATGGAAAACAATATTTCATCTCTTTCAACCCAAATTAAAAATTAAACAGAATAAGATATTCCTTCCTATTCTATTCCATTTCATTATAATTTAAACAATCTAAATTAAAAATTAAACGATTTAATTTAAGTCTATTTTATTTCATTCCTTTACATCCATCCAAAGATAACCTAAAGTAAATATTTTACACATTACCAATAACGTTTGAAAAAAATGATAATCCAATTTATGTTTTTTACCTACATTCAATTTCCCAAATTCTAGTTGCCACGGTTAAAATTTGACGAAACCCAGACCATCACAGATCAATCAATCTTCTATGCATTGAACTCCAAATAATGGAAAAAAAACTTACCACACAATCAGACGAGACAAATGGCAAGATATATAGCTCGTTGATTGCTAGCATAGAAAGCACCAACTGAATCGATTAGGGTTCTCTTCAGCTGCACTAAATCTCAACAATGGAAAATTATTTAATTCCACCACCCTCACTATCCACAATTAATTAATAATTAATACTAACAACTTCCAGCCTCTGCCCAACACATTTATTCACATTAGTATTGATCTAAATTCGATCTTCTTGCTTCGGCATATACTAACCATTACTAAATTCAAACCAATTGACCTAAAGCAGTGTGAAATAACTTCGAATAACATACCTAAGTATCAAGCAATTGCAACTCGAATATCCTTAAAAATCGAAGAAAAAAGGATCATTATAATCCCATAAGCTACCAGAATAATCGTCTTCATTTGTCAACGACCACATAGACGGAGATCCAAGACCCACTGTCCCCACCAACGACGGATCCGGATCCACCGTTGCATCCACATCCACCTGAGAAGACAAGCTTGACCCAACCGACCCCACCACCGAATTCATTCCATCAACCATGCAATTCTGATGCTGCTGTTGGTTCGACACATGACTATGTTGTACGAGATGATCCTGATAACTTTGATTTTGGTACGAGGTTGTTCTCATAGAATTTTCATCTGCAATAATAATCCCAGCTGCTACACTCACATCAGATTCCGAGTGTTGACACTGTTGTTGCTGCTGTTGTTGTACTTGCACCATTTCCTCTGGACGAAGATAGTGATGATGCTGATGAAGTTGCACTACATTATTATCAAAAGGGCACAACACCGATGGGGTGTAATTGTTGTTATAAACCCCAAAAGGCATGTTGGAGGTGGCGTTGAACAGCACCGGAAGATGGGAAGCGGTGGTGAAGGCGAAGCCCGAAGGACGAGGAAGCAAGGGTCGAAGGGTTTGAGAAGAAGAGGAAGAAGAAGAAGAACGAGAAGAGGAAGATTGAGTAGAAGAAGCTGAGGGTTGGAGGTTAAGTTGAGCCCTAGAGCCGTAAAGAATAACGGCAGCGCGGTCGTAGGCTCTGGCGGCATCTTCGGCGGTGGCGAAGGTGCCAAGCCACTTACGGGTTCGCTTACGTGGCTCTCGGATCTCCGCAACCCATTTGCCCCAGCTTCGTTGCCTCACTCCACGGTATCTAAATTTGTTGTTGTCAGGGCCACCTTTGCCTTTGCATTTACGATTACTTTTGTTAGCGGTTGTGGTGCTGCTACTACTGCTATTATTACTGTTAGATGTTTGATGAAGAGTGGTGGTTATGGCGGTAGTGGCGGTGGATTTGGTTTCTTGGGGTTGAGGCTGGTGATAAGGTTGGGGTGGGTGCTGGTTCTCCATTGGTTGGGTCCTGAAGTGGAGCTTTTAAGTTAAGAGTGAAGGGAAAGATGGAGACCCTTGGTTACCTCGTTCAGTGTTGATGTTGATTAGTCCAAAGAGGAGGCTCTGGTGAAGTGGTTTCAATGTCATTTCTGTGAATGGTTGAATAGGGCGGTGCTGTTGTTGCTAACATGCAATTTGTATTTATAATAGGAGAGAGAGAAAAGAAAGGGGTTGATGATGTGCAGCGAATAAAGAAACAGGCCACCACAGGTGCACATTGGTTTGGGAATTTGGAATCACTACTCACTTTTGTTCATTTTCTTCGTTTCTTCCTTCTTAGTCAGGTTTTGTTTCGAGACTAGTGTAGTGCTGCTTATTTGGGATAAGTTAATTCCTAGGCGTTTACCAAAAATTATTACTAGCATTTCCCAGGCAACCAACCTCATTAATCATAATATGATACTGCCACCTCAGGCTGTACATGGTATTCTAATAGGGTTTATGCACTGCATTTGCACTAAGCTTGTGTAATTAATTGATTGAATTAGAATATTTGATTCAATAGGCTAAGAATTGTGAATTTGAATCTTGTAAATGTAAAATTAATTAGAAGTTGTACTTGTAAGTCTATAATTATTATATTAATTAATTTAAGCAGAGGTATTTTAAAAAATTAGTCATATATAATTAATTAAAATATGTTAAAAATTTCTAAATACCATATATAAAAAAATAATCCTAATAATACATTATATTAATATAACTAATATTAAGATTAAATATTACTTACTTATTAAATAATTTTACTAATTTATCGAGTAAGTCTATAAATTACAAATTTTTAAATAAACTGGAAATTTATCTTACCAAATATAGCCTGAACAGTAATATTTCATCCGTATGGACTTTGTCTGTCACATTTGATTTTATAATATATCTTACGAGCGAAATTAAATAATGACTATATTTAACTGTTGTTTAATAGAGATTATTATAGATGTTACAAACTTATATTAACCATAATATATTTACTTTTTAAAGAATTTTTAATATAAAAAACAGTCCATCAAAATATGAATTTATTGATATAAAATAATAATATTTATAATAACAATTTAATTTTTAAGCTGATAAAAAAATATCAACAAAGAGAATCGTAATATATTTATCCGATAATAGATCACATTTTAAAAGAAATGAACTCGAATCGAATTTGACCCGTGCATACTGTTTGTTTTCACACCCAAGATTCTTTTTTTGTTGAATCATCGGGGAGAGGGGCAAGGGGAAGGGAAATTAAGTAGGGTTTTATCTGAATCCTGTTCATACAAAGCATGTATTGGTAGCTTTTCCACTTGAGCTGTTCAAGTACTTTTCACACCCAAGTATAAAACATCTACTACTTGTGACTCGCTTCCATTCAAAACTATTGAATTTAGTAAAGCTTTCTTAAGATTTTTACACTCTAGACTCCAAGATTGAATGACACAGCTTGGAAGCACATGAAACAGCAACACTTGCAGAATCGTACATCTAGGTCGGAGCCACAAAGTTCGAATGTTGTAGCAACAAACATTGCATCTTTCTCTATACTGGATAGTTCGCACATGACATGACAAGTCACCGTTGACAAAGTGAGTCATTGGCATTTTTCAGTCCCAGTTTGATCAATCATTAAAATTGTCATGGTATGTGATACTCTATATATACCTTTTAAAAATACACAAAAACTTCAAAAGACATAAACATATTTTCCTTAGGATGTATAAAAAAAGAGTAGTAGTGTCTTCCATATCTACATCCCTATCAATAGGAATACTCTCAATGCTTGAACCTTTCTTGGCCAGCCAATCTACACAAACTGGCTTCACGCAGGGTATGTTCAAAGGTGACTTCCCAATCAAGCGCCATTAAGAGCTTTCTTCTACTTTGTATAATGCTTTTTTATATGCTTAATTGTATGTATATAGTATTGAGACTCCTCTTCCACCTTCAGCACCATTTTAGAATCACTATGATATATATATATATGAGCTTCCAAGCCAAGCCATCCTCAACCCCTTGAAAATGGCCTTCAAATCTACATGGAGATTAGTTGCCTCTACTATAAAGCTCAATCGAAAATCCAATTAGAGACCCAATCACCATTAATACTGTTTCGGAACAAACCTTCTCCAAATCCAGATTTTCCAGGATTACCACTAGAAGTGCTGTCTGCATTCAACTTGGAGTAACCGGATGGTGGAAGACTCCAGTCCAATCCATCTCTGTTATCACCCCAGGTGAGTAATATCTGTAACGAAGTTTTGCATCAAAATTATGTTTTAATAAAAAAAAGAAAGGGAAGGTAATTTGTTTTTTTAATTAAATACTATGTTTTTATTATTTTTATAAATATTATCTATACAACTTATTTAATTTATAAATAAAATATTCATCTGCTATTATTCCTCTCACATTCCAACTTCCAAACATGTAATCAATAAAGTTTGTCACGGTAATATGGACTTTAGATAACACTAGCCATTCTTCCCCCAGACGCCTCATTTGACATAACCACAGCATGCTTGATTTTCATATTATCCATCCAATGCAATGCAATGAGAAATAGTCTCCCACTACTCTGATCTGGCTTGGCTTGGATGCTTCTTAATTTGAATAAGATTAAAGGAGAAATGACTTGCATAATTCTCCTTAATTGTGCAATTCATGTATAGTTTAATTTTATAATTTTTATATTCATAATTTATGACACATTCATCACTTCTTTTTAAGATGACCAGTATTTGCTTAAACAAAAAATAACCCCATGTATGCAACTGCCACTTGAGCTAGTTCTAATTCAATTTAATAATGTTTCTGACTGTCAAAGTAACTTAGACAATTTTTGTTAAAGATGTTCTTAGTACTTAATAATCAAGTTAATTTATAGGTTGTGAAACTCAGTATCAGCTTAAAAATTTAAGAATTGTTTAATTAAAAAAATTAATTATAAAATCATCACCGTATTTTTATTTATCATTTATATATCCTTTTTGTTTAAGAAGAATTTGGATGCGTGGGAGGGTTTGGACATAGAAATATATACAAGTTTTATGCGCTTGGCCAATCCAGGATGCATCCCCCTGTCACTTGCAATAGAGATTGTCACATTCGCTAGCTAACGGTTGGACTTCATTTACTTCAACCTTTAAACATCAAGAACTGCCTTTGACACTAGATAGGGCAGGGCACCAATACAACCTTGTTCCTTCCATCGTTTTGTGGATCCACAAAAACATAAATGTTTCCATCGTTGGTAGTGACCACTAGACTGTCAGATGTATAAAGAAAAACTCAGTTAATAAATCGTAAACATTTATCATATGATGGGAAAAACATGCATTGTGCCAGGAACAGTCATTTAAATCGATAGAACCTATGTAGCTACTTTAAGGCTATACTAACGGAAGTATTCTCGAGAACCCTGAGAGAGTTGATTTGAATTTGGAGTCCTATTTCGGAATAACTTTGGAGAATAAGTTGAATGATTTTTTTAGCATCATTGGTGTATATACAACCGTAATCCTTTATGTTGTATTCATGGCTCTCAAGTGTGGCCTGAAACTCGCTTAATTGGAACCTCCGAAGTTTGATTGGCCACGTACTCTGACTCACTAGCTACCGTTATCTTAAAAGCATCAAGCATTTTTTTTGGTAGAGTGTTTTAAGAAATTTTGTGTTGTTTATTGATCAGATTGAACTTTCACCTTAATCATATTAATTTTTAACGTTGATTTTTATTATATATATTATTAAAATAAAATACTAAAAATACTTGTATATAATCCTATATTTTAGTTTTGTCTCTTTTTTTTCGAATTAGGTAGTTAATTTAAGCACATTTATCATGAATTTAATGTTTGCACGGATTGGTAGGCTAGAGAAGGAGCCAAGACCAAAAGATGGCCTTTGGAGACACCTTTCATCCTTGCTAACTCGTTAGCAAATGCAAATGGCCAAATCCATTTTATAGGGAGTAGTTTTTGTTGTTTACTGTGTTATTTTCTCCCTATAGATACAGAAAAAAAAAAGACCCAATTTTGACGGATAAGGTTTGATACATTTAAAGTAGTTTTTAGTTTTTTTCAAAAAATTAATGATATTATTTTTGAACATCTCAATTTAAACATATAATGAGTCAACTTTTTAGCATCTCACAGATAGTCGCTCCATTGATTTAAATTATTTTATCGAGATAAACAGGCAATTGTACTATACGTGAGGGAAGAAACTAAAGAAATAGAAATACCGTATGTTTAAGAAAAATTCACACTCACACGGAAAAAGTAATGAGTGACTTTTCTATATGCATGCAAAGCGAGAATATGCCACGTGCATAGAGTGAATGACAATGCAAGTTATAAACACTAATATATTACTTTTTATTTTAATTTTAAATGCATATAATTAGATAATCAAATTCAAGTGCAATGAATGTAATTTTGCAAAATACTTGAAAGAATACGATACATCTATCTTATTCGAATACACTTATTTTTGTGAAGAATATTTTTTATTAAAAATATAATTTTAATTATTTTATTAAAAATATTTATTAAATTTTTTATAATAAAACTTTTAAATCATTTAATTAACATTAATAGTAATATTCTAAACTTTTATATAAATAAATAAATAAAAACAATTTTTTCTCTAACATGAATAGTAAGAACAAAGCTAGTGTATATATATATATATATATGAATTTTATTTTGGCTTAAGTAACTTTGATAAGCCGCGCTCTGAATCCTTAAATGTTAGAAAATTAAAGCAACAGGAAAGATATATTTTAGAAAACAAAAATTTGTAAATCTATAATTGATTAAAAAAAGATAAAGAGACAGTATATTTTAATAAGCTTTAGTGTGCACATATATATTGATTTAAAACATTAGAACTATTTTTTTTTTCTCTAAAATGAACTCTTAACTTGAAAATAATAAAATTTGAAAAAGGATTTATGTAGTTTGGACTTT